TGTGTATGTTTATTTTGCAACCATAAAACGGCACGTGAATGAACAAGAGGTAGCGTGACACGACAAAGCGTTAAGTGATCGATGTTCGTCTTGTGAGAAGTATGGCCACCGTGATTGCTATATATTTAATAAGGATGTTGCCGCTAAATATCCAAACAGCACGTGTCAGGCACGTGTATTGATCTTTTATCATTGATATTATCAATTTTATAATAATATATAATCAAATTTATATTAGAATTTTATTGATAGCAATTATGTAATTGAAATGTGTAAATTATTTTGAAATTTCATATAAAAATCTTTAAAAATAATGTATTAAAATTTATCGTTAATAATTTGAGAGGTAAAATTACTTGATATACATACAGTATACAATTTTTTCCACTATAAGCCTATATTAACATGTGCGTTCCACTCAATTTTATAACTCTTACAATTAGTATAATTAGTATAATTACAATTAGTATAATTATATTAAACCACCAGTGTATCATAAATTAACACGTTTCCACAAAAATGATATCATGCTGTGAGAATACAAAGCCCTGTTAATTCTTTTTACAGGATGATCACGCAACTCTTTTCAAGTTATTATATCGATATCATTTCGGGGCATCTGTCGCATAATCATACGTGAATCTTTGTTATAAATATGAGTATAAATCTATGGCGCTTATAGATATAAATTCAGTATACTGAGTAAAACATTTTCTTTCATTAATCATTATTAATCGTATTATCATTTTATAAATTATTATTCATTATAAATTATTATTATTATAAATTATTATTATAAATTAAAATTCAAATCTTTTAATATTCTTTAATATACGTATAAGTTGATTCATAAGAGTTATATTTGAAATTTCTTTATAGGGAATAGCTCTGCTCTCCTGACTTTTTCTTTTTTCGGTATCGAAACAGGTATCACGGTCCGTTGTAGGTAATAGGTCTCGGATAATGGCGACCTATTTGACCTTCGGTTTGTAGCTAACCTGCTGCGTATTTCCAACTTCTTCCAAGTTTTTATCTTCGAGATTTTGTACGACTGTGCACGCTATAATAGATATTTGCTAACATTCCGGCATTATAATATTCCTTATAATTATTTCGTGATTATGATTATCAATTTTAATCAAAATTAATATTTTTTATAATTTTAATGTCAATATATTTGTATAATATTACATTAAAATATATAATATGAACGTAATCATATAACGTAATTATTAGTACTGTTGTTCTTAATAACAATTTTTATTGGATACAATAAACAATCCTAATACTATCTATTTTAATAAATTAATAAATTATTAAAATTAATTAATGTTGTTTTCTGAATTCATAGTATGATGCAGAATTAATGCTGCTTACATTATTGCAAATCCGCAAATATTAATTATGATCTTTAGTAATTACAATATTAACAAAATTAGAATTAATTTCTTAAGTAAGAGTTGTTCTTATTCTTTATTTTAATTGTATCGAGTTGCTCTGATAAAGACGTACTATTGTGGATTCATTTATTATTATTATAATACAAAAGCCACGTGAGTTCTTCACGGATGCTGCAAGCTCTCACGTGGATTTCATTTCAGGATCGCTTATAAAATGGTGCTGAAGAGAGAAGGAGGAAGGGGAGGAAATACGAGGGGAGAAGAATGGAGTTATGGAGCGACTAGGGAAGCGAAGGGGAAGAGAAAGATGCCGGCTGGCAAGCAGATGGTTGCCCCGTTTATTGGTTTATTCGTCGGTTCAGCCATGACGTTCCGTCCGGCCATGAAACAAGCCGGAGATTCTCCTTGTGTTAGAGAATATCAAGCAACGAGACTACAACTGCTCTTCCTATTAAAATGCATTTGTGAGCTACTTACTCGCGTAGTAAATATAATCGTTAGTATCAAACTATAGTAAACTTAAAACTGATGGTTATATTTTCGATAATATGCTCACATGGAAGATACTTACTATTTATCTTTTCATTTTTATTTATTTGTTTTTACAACGTCTATAATCAGTAACATTATTTTGCATTAATCGATTTTTGTTATTTTACAGATTTTTCGCAGACACTTTGTATCATTCCTATCATGATAAATTTATGAATTATATATCATTAAGAAGAAAAGATCTATAAATTTCCAATGTATATGTAAGTAATAAGAGAATCTTTAAAATTGATTTCCTGTTACAAGAATATATGTTATTTGATTTTGTTAACTATTATATCTTAAAAGTAGCAGTATTGTTGTGTTGTATTATACTGATAAATATTTCTTCACATTATGTTTGTTATCACTATACATATGCAATATTTTATTATAATGATAATTTAACATGAAACTTACACGTTAATATAATATACAATAAAGAAAAATAATGAATTGATTAATTAATTAATTATAAGTTTTCAACATAGTAAAGTATATTTTTTCTTTAATTTATGCAACTTGTTTTATAATACGTATTCTAATGTATATATATATATATATATATATATATATCTGACTGAAGCAAAATTCATTTAATAGCGGGTTAGAGAACTTTAATATGTAGCATTTCTCTCGATACTAGTTTTATAAATATGAAAAATATACGTAGTTAAAGAATAATAGCAATTTTGATAGCGGAATACAAATGTACGCTTTATATAGATATGATATAGATGATATTCCGTAATGGCGTTCTAGGGGCGGACGAAATGCTCAGGTCGATAGAAGGAAGGTTGCTTGTCTACGAAACTCAAATACGCTTTCGTCTTATTGCTGATGATCATCCCCACTTATAATGGGCTTATCTGTGATATATCCTCAGAAATGTAATCAACATGACTCAAAATTGATTAGATCGTAAAGTAAGTACATGCAATTTTAAATGTTTATAGATTTTAATAGATGAGAGGAAAATAAAATTTTGAAGAAAAATAAGAATAAATAATTTTAGGAAAATTATAAAACATAACAAAGTAACAGTTTCTTTTTTGCTAGGGAATTTCAGTATTCTTGTATTACGTCATATGTCGGTAAGGTCAGTCAGAATAAGACTATAAAGTACGAAATCATGACATTTATAGTGACACTCTATTTATAATCTATAATGCAGAAGATTAAAATAAATTCTTTAGGGAGAGAGAAGGAGATGTTTTAGAAGTATTATTTAGTTGTACACATGTTGCAGTTTATTCAATTAAAAGTTTAATTTAAATTGAAATTTAAATTGACAAAATTTTGATAGACTGACTTGATATATTTTATTCTATAACAAAAATTTGTTTTTATATGATATCCGTTTTTATATGATTTAGCACATTAATTTACAATATAAATAATATGTTAATTAGTATATTAAAGTTACAAATTTTATATATATATAT